TAATATTCTTCTTTATAAGTAGCTGACGAAAACTAACGTTTCAAAAAAAAAGCATAAAGTGACATTTTATTTTATTGTCATTTGACATTATCTTATAATCATTCATGACGATAATTGTGTCACTAATATTGTGACGATTTACATTTCATCACTAATGTATCAGATTTTATCATTTATTTTGTAATGATTATAGCCTTTAATGACAATGTTACAAAATTTAAAGCATAAGGTGATATTTGATTTTATTGTCACGATAGACATTATCTTACAATCATTGGTGACAATAATTGGTCACCAATATTGTGACGATTTACTTTTCGTCATTAATATATAAGATTTTCTCATTTTTTTGTGACAATTATAGCTTTTAATAACTTTTTTTTTCATAAGTAGTTGACCAAAACTAATGTTACAAAAAAAAAATAAGGTAACATTTTATTTTATTGTCATGGTAGATTCACAATGAGTGACGATATTTTGCTATAGTCACGTTAGACCTTTAGCGATACTGCAAACATGACGAATGTCATAATGTTTAATTTTTTGTCATGGAATATAGGGTGATGAAAAACAAATACTTAGTGACATTATTCAATGCACCACTAATGATCAAATTTGTTGTAGTGGGTATTGAAAGACAATTAACCATTCCAATCACTTTACAACAAAATGGTGTTGTAGAGAGAATAAATAAAATTCTTTCGAAAATGGTTGATATTGGCCCAAGTGAGTTTACAAATCACTTTCGGGTTAAAATATTGTTATCAATTGTCTATTTAATCAATTAAGTATCCTCCAAGTTAGTTACAATCACTCCTTATAAATTGTGGATTGGTAGAAAACTTAACCTCAGTAACTTAAGAACTTGAGGTTGTGTTATCTATGTTTTGAGTTCGCTAATTAACATGACAAGTTTTCATAATACAAAAAAAAGTATATTTGTAAGATACTGTAAACATTCCCAAGGGATATGCGTTTATAAATAAACAATCAAGTGGGAGTTTAATTGAATTTTGAATTTCATAATGCCATTGTTATGGAAAATGAGATTCCAAAGTAAAGGTGAGATGAGTCAAGAAATGTCTTTTTATAAGATTGATGGTGCAAATGATTTGGTAAGTTACAAATCAATTAATGCATGTTCTTAATCAATAACCAAAAGTATCTCATCCAAGTGGAAGCATGACTAAAGTTGATGAATTTGTTAAATTAGCTTCACAAGAATCACAAGTCAGGTAAAATAAAAATGGATAAACGCAATAGAAGAAGAAAGGAGTCTAAAACCAAACAATGTTTGAGAATTGATTGAACTACCCAAAGGACATGATTCTAACCATGGCATGTTTAGATTTGGAGTTACATTAAATGGACGTGACAAGTGCATTTCTAAATGGAGAATTGAAAGATAAAATATATATGGAATGACCTATAGATTTCACTGACAGAGGTTAATAACATAAAAGTGTTTGATGATTAAGATTATTTTATGGTCTTATAGAATCTTTTAGGTAGTGGTACATTAATATTCATTAAGCGATAATTTTATATGATTTTGTCATGATTGATGAAGATCATTACATGTATGTCAAAAGAGTAATAGACAAGCTTATAATCTTGTCGCTCTATGTGGATGACATACAATTGGCTAGAAATGATAAGAAGTATTCCACTATAGTGAAAATTGGTTGTCCTCAAATTTGAAATAAAGAACATGTGTGAAGTAGCTTACATACTTGGTTTAAGAATCAAGAGAGATCATTTCAAGAAATCATTATATTTCATAAGAGTAATATATTAAAAAAATTCTTGAGCAATTTAGTATGTAAAACTGTAAGCCAATTGATACTCTTATGACAAAAAGTGAAAGCCTAAGCCAAAAAATATGTCTTGGACTTCACAAGATAAAGGAACAAATGACAAAAGTTCTCTACTCTAATGCTACTGGAAGCTTTATGTATACTATGATGTACACAAGGCAAAAAATTTGCTATGTCCTGAGCATAGTAAGGAGATATCAATCAAATCCAAATCAATCTCATTAGAAAGCCACGAAAAGGATATTAAGGTATCATAAAGCATTATGGATTATTTGTTGTGCTATTAAGAAAGTGGTATGCATTTAATTGGCTATATAGATACCAATTAGAGAGGAGATTTAAAAGAAAGAAAAACCTACCTCTGGCTATGTTTTCTTACTGAATATTAGGCTATATCTTGGATTAGTAAAAAAAATATTTGAATAGCACTATCCATGATGAAAGCTAAATTTGTAGCATTTTTAGCAACATTGCAAAAGGTTCTTTGATTTATGAGATTTTTTAATCTGTTGGGAATTGAGAAAGATGAGTCTAACTTAATGCTAGTAAATTGCGATAGTTAAGCACAATCACATTCACAAACAAATCCCAAAGACCAAACACAAAGATTCCAAATATAATTTTGTGAGAGACATGGTTGTACAAAAGAAAGTCAACATGTACATTTCTCCGTATGAGATAATTACAGGTCCATTAACTAAAGCCATGCCTAGAGATATATTTCATAACCACATGAAATCTCTAGAGTTGCATAGATAAAGATGTACCGATTAAGATGTTCCATATGAACAAATCTATAATTTTTCTTATTTGAGTTGACTTATATTAAATGTGATTAATGCCATTAAAGTTTAGTACTTTGTTTTATTAAGCACACACACATGTGTAGGTATATGTTTGTGTACATATACAATATGATTTGAAAGGTATGTTGGATAGATGATTGGCCTTCTCACATAGCTAATCACCTCAATGATTTGACACCATAGATATGAGATTAGTTTTAAACTCTAGATTGAGACCCTAAGTTTAAAATGAAATCGCCTTGATAAGGGATTAAGATGAGGTCACTTGATATTAAGATTTGTGACCGAAAGTGAGTAATGCCATAATTCACTTTGTTCATCTTAAATGCTAGTGGAACTCCAATTGATTATGTGAAATCAAGTAGAGTTATTGACTTAAATTAGATACTAGAAGTATCTAAACTATCACCTATATGATATTGATATCTAATGGTAAAAACATACGCTTCTTAGAAAAAGGAGAGTAATACCATAACATGTATTTCATACCACATGTGCATTATTTGACCAATAAAGGTAATAAAAGAATAAATCTCTGCTTTTTATTATATAAGACCCTCAAGATCAAAGGATCTCATATTTAGTACCCTAAAGAGTTTCAATTATTTTTTAAAGTTTCAGTTCAATGTTAGCTATCTTGGAATATTGCCAATGATAATGGATGATTCGATCTAATGGGACATATTTGGATAGTAATTGAATTGAAATGAAAAAAAATGTAGAAGAAAGGAAGATCATTTTGTGTCACATTTCATGTATTCACAGGCTGGCCAATTATGTTTAAGATGTTAAAAATAATTATGAATATATAAGAATATCATGTAATATGATAAAAGAAAGATCACGAGGAACCTAAAATGTGACTGAAAGGATCTAGGGCACTGCATACTTACTCTATTTGTACTTGAGAGTTACATACATACTTAACAATTGTATAAATGAATAAATGTAATTTATAAGCTGCTATAGGCACCGTACATTTGTATAGCATCTAAGCTTTTGAAGTATACGGTTACATGGCTTATTTTCTTCTAAGAACCCTTTACAAAGAGTAGAGAAAAAAGATTCTTGATCATGAGAATTCCCCACCCATTTTGTGCATATGGGAGATGTTGGAAAGATTTGTCCATGAATGGGAGCCAAACCATATAAAAACTGCATGATAGTTTCTTTATTGTTTCCAATTGATAAAACTGCCAAAGATAGTTGTATTATTGAATTTCAAACCAAGTAAAAACTCATGCTTCCTCATTTCCTTTAAAATGGCATTTTGACCTTAACAAAAAAAAGAGAAAAAAAAAAGTAAATGGCATTCAGCCATTACATGAAGATGATGAATAGGTTCTTGTTGAAATCTTTTCCTCTCTTAAAACAAAGTGTGGCATTTGATTATGACAGAATATGACAAAAGAGCATTCATCCAATGTGTGAGATAAGTGCCATTCATAAAAGTGGTAAAGAGAGAAATTAGCAAAGTAAAGGAATAAGACATTCCCTGCAAACTCTTTGAGAAATCTCATGCTTTGATATTTAAGGATTTATGTTATATATAATGGGCAGTTTCCAAATGCATGATTTTGTTCTCAACCAATGAATCAAATCGGCATCGTTTTCGCAATACTTCTATAATAATGCTTTCATTATGTTTTCGCAAATCAAGTAAGTATTCTACATTATTTATGATATATGATCTTGTTGATATATTATTAGATTATCCTTCAAATATAAACTTGCATGCAAATATAGATCATCCAAATTTGAGAAATTTATTTGATTGAATGGAGAATTTTTATTTATTATATTATTTTATTTTTGTTTAATAGTATTGCGCAAACTTTTTTTGAAAAATTTAATTTTAATATGACATGTTTTATGTATAAATAAATTATTTATATATGTTATAAATTTAAAAATTTGATACAACTTTGGAAAGAATTTTAATTTATATTTATAAACACATATAAATCATATTAAACAAGACTTTCAAACTCAAAGTTAATATTTTTCAATAAATCCCTTATTTTAGTTTCTTTAATTTATATAATAAATTAATAAAACAAAAGTTAAACTGTAAGCCATGCATCACACAACATTAAAGCTCATGTTACATAATTAAATAAGTATAACTAATTCATGTATCACATGAGTTTCAAGACAATTTAGAAAAATTTATATTAATTAAAACTCTGAGATCAAGTGTTTTTATAATATTTTTATAATATTTTAGAATTATTATCTTAAAAAAAAAAGGATTGAGATTAAATCTGTTATACCGATTGAATTGAAAACGGATGACACAGCGGGACTGAAATTCCGAGCCCAGCTTTTAATAATAAGTACAAAAATATAGCATCTCTCTCACGTGGAAAGAAGTACAGTCAGTGCGAAACTGGAAGAGTTTAACCTGAAAAAGCGCCAAATAATTAATCACAATAAAGAAAAGGTTAGATAGATTGATTCCATCAAAATTAAACCGTGTGAATCGGATTATCTTTATCTCCAACCCTGGGTTTTCCGCCTTTTGCCTCTCTTTCAGTTTTTTCTCATAATAAAAATTTTTTTTTCTTTTCTTTGACCATTTACTTTCTTTCCAAACCGATCATTGCCTTTTTCTAGGGTTCCTTGCTTCTTCTTGTGCTTCATTCTCTTTTCTCCTCTTTCAAAACTCTGTTTCTTTTCTTTACTCTGCCAAACACGTCTGCTTCCAATGGCTGACTTCACTACCTCTTCTTCTGCTGCTGCTGCTTCTTGCTCCTTGTTCGAGAAGCCGCTCGTATTAACCGCAACTTCTTCATCTTCTCCGCCATCTTCTTTCGGTGGAGCACTTAGCGATGGTTCCGAAGACGGCTGCAGTATCTGTCTCGAGCCTTTCACTGTTCAAGATCCTGTCACTGTACGAATCATCACTCTTTCTCGTCTTTTATATACACTTTTCCTTTTTTTAAGGAAAAAATAAATTTTAATTAATTAATTTTTTTAAAAAAAATTTTTCAGTGATGATCGAGGTAGTCGATAATACTTTAAAGTTGATCGTAGTTCTCTGAGATTTTGTGTCACTATTTAATTAGAATTGGAACTACTGCTCTGTCATAAATTCTTTTTTTCCTTAAAATTTCTGATTGAAAACAGAATGATCGAGATAAATTGATCATATAAGTAGAGGATTTTCGTGGACTGTTGATATTAATTTTGTGAAATATGTTATAATTTGTGGCGTGCGAGATGTAACATTGATCGTGATCAGTTTATTACCTTTTAAAATTTTAAGATAAACGAATTCTGATCTCTGATAGCTTATTTTTACTGTTTGATTTGAACTATTATTATAATGCTCGATGAGCTTGGAAGGCAACTCTTTGTTTTCCCCTACTATCGTTATTTAGTTAGTGAACTGAGGCTTTGTATATACTTTTAGCAATCCCTTAGTGGATATATGTCTTAAATATCTGTTCTTTTGACAGCTTGATTCATGGATTCTTTTTGGCAGATAATTTGCTCAAAAACAAATCATAGAATCAATATGAATTTAATTGTTTCTGTTCTGATGGTTGGGTGCTGGTTAATTGTAGAACACGCATATTATTTTAATTCCTATTTTAAGGGGAAATTCTTTTATATTCATTCTGCTATTGTGAATATCAATGCCAACAATGCACGAGTAGTTTTACTTGTTTTCATCATGTTATTCTGTGCTGTTGTATTATGATAATGTTTACTTATTTCATGCCATAGACTTACAGAACACTCCTTCTATCTGGTTTTGCTTTACAGCCTCTAGGTGGTTGTTTGAAGGATCAAGCTTTCTGAAACTTGTTCTTTGTTTCAGGTTACCAGTTGCAGACATGAATATCATCTTCAATGCATTCTTGAATGGTTGGCTGTCTTTCTAACTTTTAAATTATACTAGTTTCTAGGAAACATAGTATCTTACATGTTTTCGCCTTGGAATGCAATAATATTATAGTTCTATGTTCTTTAATATTCCTAATTGAACTTGTTTTTCCACTAGGTCTCAAAGAAGCAAAGAGTGCCCGATATGCTGGCAGTTATTTGTCCTGAAAGACCCTGCCAGGTGTATAACTTTTTTATTCCCCTCCCTCCTCTCTAACTCTGTACATACTTGCTTTATTTTCTGTCTGATGCTAATAAGCAGAAAGCTGCCAGCTAATCAGTGAGTTTGGTGTCATATTTGTGCATCTTTGCAGCCAAGAGCTTCTAGATGCCGTCAGAAATGAAAGGTACTGCAGATCAAGGAACATATCTGCTGTGCCCACAGATTTGCATCATTTCCATGATGTTTTTGGTATTCCAGAGGTGATTTATGTGGTTCCTTTTAAATTTTATTGATCATATTTATACTTAGTATTCTGCTTAATAGGATCTTTTATTGATGACATGTACATGTGGTCTCAGGATGCATTCCATTCAGATGATTTGGACTTTGATGAACGTATTTTGCAGCATCTAGCTGCTGCTGCAAGCCAAGCTCGTTATGTTCGCAGAAGGGAAAGGCAAAGATCTTCTGGACTTGGCCCTTCTCAAGTTCTTTTTCTTACCTCTCCTGAAACTATGCCAAGGGCACAGCCTACGCATCCAACTTCATCAGATGAATGCCAAAACTTAAGTTATTGGTCCCAGCATGATTCACTGGCTTCAGGCATGCCATCAGTTAATATTGACCCCCCATCACCTTTGACCCCAGCTGTTAATGTGGTCTCTAGAGCTGCTGCCAGTGGAGATAAAGCTACAAAACTAAGGTACTTATTTCGTATTATTATCCTGGCTTGTTGTGAATGTGCTTTGTGTATGTCTTGTGGGAATAACACCCTTAAAATTTGCTTCCATCAAAGAATGTGTGAAGAGTATATTATACATACTCTACACATCTTATGACATGGCTTTCCGTTGTTCCTTACCAAATTTTATTGTTACTATAATGGTACTAGCATGTTATGTTATCCTCTTTTGTACCTATAAATGGCATTTCTCTGAAGTGTTCATCTGTTTTTATTGACAATTCATACTATTGCATTGCTTTTCCTATGACCTTTACGACATTGGATTGTTCTTATGATTTTCTTCAGTCAGCCACAACTGGATACTGCTCGTAGACCAATCTCATCTGAAATGTTCTCTTTCTCAGAGTCTATAAAATCTAAATGGTCCATTGCTTCCGCCAGGTATTTATGTTTCAGTTCAGGTTTGTTTTAGGCTGATATCTACTCGTTGCTCAAGGCATGGATGTATTGCAACAGATACAAGGAATCAATTTCTAAAGGTACCAGAGGTCTGAAAGAGAAGCTTCTTGCTCGTAATAACTCTGTTAAGGAGCTCAGCAAGGGAGTGCAGCGTGAGATGAGTGCGGGGATTGCTGGTGTTGGAAAAATGATTGAGCGCCTAGATATTGCAATAAAAAGACCTGGAGCTTTTAGATCCGCTTCTGGTGGCACTGGTGGTACTGCAAACTTTTTATTCAAGGGAAAGGGCGTGCAAGAAAATGTTATTGCTCAAAATCTTAATAACAGTGTAGATTTTGGACGTGGTTTAAATTCAGAAGCATCATCTTATCACTCTAATACTGTCCCAGTGATACTAGAAGTTTCTCACACCCAGGTATCACAAACTTCTGTCTGAATTTCATTCTATCAACTCACTGGTGCTAATAATTAATCATTTGTTTTTGCACCCAAGAAAAAACATTGCAGTTCTCTTAGAAACATGAAGTCTTCTTTCAGTTGTAAAGACGGAATCTTTTGTAGTCCTGTTTCATGTATTGAATTATGCATATATTTCAATAAGAAGGGGCGGGGGGGTGCAAATAATACATATTAAGAACACTGGTTTGTTACTAAAAATAAACACCTGTGCAGTTTATTTCTGTTTATTTCTATGACACATCTGAATTCCCCGTCTTTTTTTTTTCCCCCTATTGAATTCTAGACATGAGGAGCATTGTATTGAAGTTTAGAGAAATTTTCATTATATGCAAATATAGACAGGGAATTTATTTTATGTGAAGTAGTTATCATGATACTGTCTTTCAGACGGATCACTGATGCTTTCAGCTAAGGCACTGGCTGGTTCGCGGTGGCAGTTAAAATTTTGTTCTGGATGAGTTTATGTGATGCGAGTGACGTTACAGTCAGTGAGGAAACCAATTTGCCCGTTGGTTCACGTCCTGCATTGGCTATTTATGCAAAAAAAAGTGCCAAGTTGGAGGGTATATAGCGTTTATTATCCTGACACATTTTCTGCTGTAATAAACACTGGTAGTAGTGGGAGAGATAGCAAGAATTATGAAAGCATTTATCTTTTCTCGTATTTCGTATTTTCTGTTTGCATTTTGATTTTACAGAGAAGCTTGGGATTCAGCTTTTTCTGTTTAATTAATTAGGCTATTTAAAAGTGACAAGTGTCTCTTTGGTTCTTGCCTTTTTTTTTTCCTTTTCTTTTTTGTAGTTTTCCTTTTTTGCTCGTGGTGAGAGAATTAGGTAAATTGCATTCCTAAATATCCTATTATTTAGGGGACAATTGAAAATAAATTATTTTATAAAATGTTTTTATGCAAATTTTTAGAAATTTAAATCGGATTTGAGGTTTTTGGTAAGTTTAGGTTTACAATTAAAGTTTTGGGTTCATATAAGGTTTTGCTTTGAGATTTTATTTAAGATTTTGGTTTTAGAATTTTCAAAAGTTTACCAATTTTTCTAAAAGTTTTCAACATTTAGACAAATTTTCAAAGCATATTCATATTTTTATAATTTTTTTAAAAAATCAAATTTTATTTATATTTCATATATATATTTAAAATTATTATTATTTATTTACCTTTATCTATTTATCCTTATTTATTTTTCTGAAAATGGATTTTTATGCATAATTTTTTCCTTTTCATTAAATATTTTATAACTATTATTATTGTTGTTGTTTATTAAGCTCATATTATTTTATTTTTAATATTTAATAATTATTCAACATTTTGGTGGAATTATTATTATTTTAAATTTGATTTTTATTTCTTTCAACATCTAGATATGAATTTTAAAATTTCCATCTTTACTATTATTATATATATTAAAAAATAACACATCCTAATTTTAAAAATACATATATATGTGTATATATATATATATATAAACAAAATTAAATAAGAAAACAAAAGAATACAATTTTCAATCAAACACATGCACTAGTTAAATGCTAAGAAAATGTGACAAAGACCATTCCAAGATGCCTTAAGTAAAACTACTATCACCCCCATTTTTTCCTTATCAAAACATTTTCCTCATGTGCTAATAACTTTTACCATTATTTTTAAAACTAAAGTAAAAGAAAAACTAAAACAATGAATACAAACTCTTAAAGAGATATAACTAAAATTTGCTTAATTAATAGTGGACTCCACATTTGACTCATTCTTCAACAACAATCTTCATTGTCAACAATCACGAATCAAATATCATTCATTTTTTTAGGAAAAAGGAAAATATGTTTAAGCAAGCACATGGCTTTCAAGGTTTCACATGTAGAGAAGAAAATTAGATTTAAAACTTGCCTAAAAACCACTTGCTTCCTTGGTAAAATTTTTTTAAAGAAAAGACCTTTCTTTTATCATTTCAACTTAGAAAACATGCATTCAATCATGAAAAAGGCCTAAGCTCGTATGGGATGGTAGAAGGGAGACAAAAACGATAATTCCTACTTAAAAAATAGTTTATCTTTTTCATGCACATCAACCTCACATGAAAAATATCATAGTAAAATTAAGCATGAAAGTTATTTAATGGAAATAAAAATACACGAAAAAGACCAAGAATATTACCTTTTCTCAAATTTTCTCAAAGGCTTTGGATTTTTTTTCCTTTTCACAAAATTTCTCCTCCTTTTTTACCTATTTTCAAGATTTCCCTTTCTATTGTTTTTTTGCCAAATACTTCTAGTATATTTTCTACCTCTTTCTTTTGCTACGTATGTGTTGCCACCTTCAAGGGTTTACTACCTAGTTTTTTTGTTGAATTTTCTTTTTCTGCTTGTGGTTTTTGCTTTCTGGCAGTTGCTTTCTTATTCTGTTCTCCTTTTGAAGCGTGATTTTTCTCTTCTGTCCATGGTTTGTTTTGGCTCCTTCCTCTTTTGTTTCCTAGTAGCGCTTTTCACTTTTTTTTTTTGTTTTTTGGTATCTTCCAACTTTCTTCCCCACGTTCCCTTTTCTGCACCCAGTTTTTTTGTTTTTTCCTCTCTTGCCATGTATCATTTTCCACACTTTTTTTCTTGTCATTTTCATGCTCCTGGCTCTTTTCGTGGTTTCATTTTCAATTTTTTACCAAAGTTTTCTAACCTTCTTTTCATCTCTTCGTGCCTCTTTCTTTTTCTATTTTAACTTTTCCCATTTTTTTCTTGGGAACTTGCTGCTAGTTTTTGCCTTCTTTTTTTTCTTTTGATTTTGCTACAACTTATCTCCTTTACTTCCAGTACCTTTCTTTTTTTCCTTTTCATTCTGCTTGTTTTAGTTTTTGGTAATTACTTTTTTCGAAACTATTTTTCTATTTTCACTTCTTTTCTTTTCTTTCTCATGTTCTCTACTGGCTGTTTTTTTAAATATTGGTTGTTCTTTTTTTTCTTTTCAACCTTCATTTCAATTTTTTTCTTCTTTTCCCAATGTGTTTTTTGTTACCCTTAGTCTTTTCTACCAATTTGTTTTTACTTTACTGTCTACTTATTTTTCTCTTCTACTTTGCTATTCCGTACTTTTTTTCCTTTTTTTTTTGTTTGATTTTTGCTTTCCCAATGGTTCCCTCTTGCCTTTGTAATCTTCTTAACAAGCCATCCTTCTCTTCCCTAGTTTTTTGCCTTCTTTTTGTTCTCTCGTTGCCACCCACGTTTTCTCTTCGTTTGTAATTACTTTACAGTTGCTTTGGTTTTGCCACTTTTTCTCCCGTGTCCAATGCCCAGGCCAAGCAAGATTGTTTTTGTTTCACGTTTTGCAATCAACTAAATGACATATGAAGTGCTTTGTTAAAATGGTGATAGCAAGCTAAATGGCAAACCCATTTGGCCTTGTTAAAACATGTTAAAATGGCTAAGGCCTATGAAAAATGAAGTAAAAAAAATGGGCCTTTTATTTAAACTTCAGCATTTTTACCTTTTTATTTTTATTATTTTAATAATTATTATTTTTTGGTTTTTTTAGTTTTTTAATTATTATTATTGTTATTATTTTATTTTATTTTTTTCTTAATGGCCAACAATGGGCCATTTAATAATAGGCCTTTATCAAACCCTTAATTGGGCCATTTAAATGCTCATTCGGGCCTATATAATGGGCCTCACTTTGAGCCCATATTGAGCTTCATCCTTTAGTATTTAAAGAATAGACCATTAATGGACTCAAAAAATTATGGTTAGGGCCCAATTGTCAAACTCAGGTCTAGGTTAAAGTGATAAAATATCTCAGACAAAGTTAGGTATCTACAACTGCCCCTTTTTGCATATTTATAAGGATTAAGAATAATGTAAAGACATGAACAACAATTTTGTCCGAATACTACCTTATAAAACTTTTTTGTTTTTTTTTGTTTGATTTTTTTATCTTTTTTGGGTTTTTTTATTTTTTTGGTTTTTCAATTTTTTTATGTTTTTGGTTTTTTAGTTTTTTTTTAAGACTAGGATAAGTTGTGAGTTAAAAGATGAGGTTGACCGAGATTAAACTGTAAGTCAAATGAGATGATTGAGACAAGCCTCAAGTCAAACGAAGTGACTGAGGTTAAACTTTGAGACTAAGCCACAAGTCGAATGAAGTAACTTAGATTAAACTGCAGGTGGAATGAGATGACCAGGACTAAGCTATAAGTTGAATGAAGTGACCAAGATTAAATTGCAAGTTAAATGAGGAGATTTTCAATATGAGCTTATGTGCCAGCTAATTCTAGGCTTCCATGCCAATTAAATAGTGGGCTTACGTGTTAGCTAAATACTGGGCTTCAAAACCTAGGTGCTAGCTAATCTAGATTTAAATTTTTATTGGTGTCAGTTAATGTTAAGCTTAAAACCTTCATCAAATGCTAGTTACACTGGATTTAAATTTTCACTATGTGTTACTAAGTTGGGCTTAAATCTGTCATTAGGTGCCAACAATATTGGGTTTAAATCTTTTCATGAGTGCTAGATAAATTGGGTTTAAATTTTCATTGGTGCTAGTTGATATTAGGCTTAAAACCATCATAAGTGTCAGTTACACTAGGCTTAAATTTTTACTAGGTACCAACTAAGTTGGATTTAAATCTTTTATTGGGTGTCAACTAAGCTGGGTTTAAATCTTTTCATGTGCCAGGTAAACTAAGTTTAAATTTTCATCAGAGCCAAGTAATTTGGACTTAAAACTCAGGTGCCAGCTAAATTGGGCTTAAATTTTTATTGGTGCTAGATAATCTAAGCTTAAATTTTTCCTTGGGTGCCAATTTAATTGGGCTTAAATTTCATTAGGGCTAGATAATCTAGGCTTAAATTTCCATTGGTGCAAGCTAAACTAGACTTAAAACTTGAGTGGACTTAAATTTTCCTAGGAAATTGGTAATCCCTATTAGAAATAAAAAAGGAGAAAATTTTCTTTCCTAATGCATTACATAGTTCTACACCCAAAGATTTTTATTGATTTAAAAAGACTTCACCACTTAAAAGCAATAAAAAAGGAATACTTTTTTTAGCTAATCCGAGCCTATGTGCCAACTAAACTACGTTTATGGCTTCTTTATGTCAGCAAATACTAGGCTTAAAACCTTAGTGCCAGCTAAATTAGGTTTAAATCTCATTAGCATCACCTACACTGGGCTTAAAACTTGGGTGTCATCTAAACTAGGCTTAAATTTTCATTGATGCTAGCTAAATTGGACTTAAGACTTCATTGGTGCCAAATAATTTGGGCTTAAAACCTAGTACCAACTAAACTAGCCTTAAATTCTTGAGAATTTGTGATCTCTATAAAAAATAAAAGAGGTGAAAATTTTCTTTCCAAATGGATTAAATGGTTCAGCACATTAAGGTTTATGTTGATTCAAAAAAGTTTTCCATCTAAGGGGGATAAAAGAGGCAAATACTTTTTTTTCAAACAAGCTCGCAAATGAAACATAAGTTTTTTTAAAACATGAATTCCTTAAATACCAAACATAGTCAACATTTTCCTTAGCCTTCAAATGTGACATTTTGATATATGTTAAGATTAGCTGTAAGGGCTTAAGATTTTGAAAGGTTATTTAAGAATGGAAAAGTTTGAGATTTTCGAAATTAATCCTTCTCAAACTTCTAAGACCTTGATATTTTGAATCTTTCAAAAATGTTTGGCTTATCTTTGTTCAGCATCTACCTTCTTTATCATTAGGAGTGGCTTTCAAAGTT